GAGAGAGAGAGGAAAATCATGAGCACAAAGAGTTCTAGCCATTAAAGAGTGTGCATATGATTGCTCTCACAGTGTTTTTTGCAGTCATGCACTATTAAAAATGTTAATTTGTTATAATTAAATTGATTTTAATTAATGTTCTGTATGTTTTAGCAATTATACATACATATAAATATATAATACAAAAAATAGCTAAAAAACACTAACATAATTTTTGATGATAGTCAAGTGTACAAAATAGAAACTGCCACATCCAAAGCACTATACAACAATCCCAAACAGATGCAAAATCGCACCTGGAATCCGTAAAGCTTCAAGCCCTGGTAACTCTTCCAGTTTGAGTCCTCCAACCCTCTTCCTAGTACAAACAGAAAACATGAGAGAAATATCAGGTGAAGCTGAAAGATAAAGTTTTTAAACTCAAAGGATAGAAAATGATTTGCAATTCAACTCTCAAAAAGAATTCTTTTATTAAAAGAAAAGAAAAGAAAAGAAAAGAAAGGACTGAAACCAGATAGCAAAAGGAACAACTGATGCAGCAAATTTAGTTATGGAACATTACCCTTGAGCTTGCATTATGTCTTTCTATTGAGGCCAAAAAAAAAAAAAAAAGATTTGCATTATGGAATATTAGCATATTACTTCCATTGTTGGCAGTTGTCATATGATCGTACCTGCTCAACTTGTATTGTGAAAGCACTGAGCCATAGGCCTCAAGCTCCACTGGATCTGCAATGCTAGTCAGGTTTGTTGTCCAAATACGTACAACTCCATCCGAACAAGCTGTCACAATATCACCATTTTCCAAAAATTTAATATCCCAAATGCAACCAGGATGCTCTATGCTCTGGACACAGACTCCATCTGCAAGGAGACATGATTTACCAGGTAAATATTAAATAACACTTCAAGTCATGTAGAAGAAGTGATAATTCAAGGAAAAAGCTGTTGTCCCCTAACCATAAAAAGTAGGACCTTATAACCGATATCAAGAATGCTAATGATGTTTACAAAATCAACTACTTTATTTTTTTCAAGGTAGAAGTAAAGACAACTATTCAAAGTTCACTGAAGCAATGAAATATAGAAGCAACTAGGTATGTTTTTTAATACAACTGGTAAAATATCATTTCCATTGTTTTCCTGTGAGGAGAGAAATTGAGAAAGAATAGTTTAAAAGATAGGAAAAAAAAAAATTATGAACGAAAAGAAACAAAATAATAGTTAAAAAGAAAAGGAAGAAAAGAAGAGCAAGATCATATTCCCAGTATCAACAACTAACGACACCCAGGTCAAAGAAGCATATCTCCAAGAACTATGATTAGTTATCTCAGTAGCAGAAACCTAACAATTATTCCATCATCAAATTGAAACTCAGTGATCTGATAAGTATTTATGTCACAGATCCAACAAGAATGATGGCCACAGGGACTGATTCCATGCAAATAATCATTTTAAATATGAACACAAACCACATGAGAAAAATTCACCTTTCCATATCTTTGCGAAACGATCTTCACTACCACTGACAACTAGTCCAGAAACATGAGAATCAACTGAGTAGACAATAGAAGTATGACCAACCATCTCCATCAACAATTCGCCACTGATTGCCCATAGTCTAATAGAACTGAAACAAGAAAAACACTAGAAAGTAAAAACAAATGTCTACCACATGCCCAAAGCACCACAAGGAATAAATACCTAACATGATACAAAACAATATAATGGTGAAAACCACTAACCCATCATGTGATGCTGAAAGAATTCCCAACTCAGGCATTACTGCCAAGCCCCGAACAGTATCTGCACAATCCTCAGAGACATGAGGAAAGTCAAAGCTGGTATTTCAATTTTATAGAGAAACAAAAAAAGGTGCCCAGACTTAATCTGCTGCTAAGGCCTTATCACTGTAGCAAGATCCAGCAGCAAATGCAGAAGGCCCAGCTAAAGTGATTAAGGACCTTGGGAATAATTTTAGGATTATCAATTATATAGGTAATAAATCACATAAGAGCATCTTGATGCCTTTCAATAATAACTCATTAAGAATTTTGGTGAAATTAGCTCCAAAGTCAACCTGGATAACTTCAGGTTGCTGACATCAAGATCAATCAGCAGCATGTGGCTTAACCTCTACCATTCATGAATGTTCTTCATCAATAATTAAGCAACCCATCATTTCTAAATCTTAATAGCACCATAAAAGGAATAACAAGCATAATAACATTAATGCACAAGTTGGAAAAAAATGGATGTATGGAATAGAAAGCATAAAGAAGAAAAGCTGCAGTGGATTCTTTTATCTAAATTTTAGGGCATCAAACCTAAAGTTAAGGCAATAGGTAGAAAGGTCCAATGTGAACAAATGGCACTAGAAACTCAGAAAATTGATGTGGAGAACGCCACAACTAAACAAATAGAAGATAAAATATGCATGACCTGAACCTAAAGGAATGAAGCATCAAACCCATGTGGCATGCACAAGTGAAAATATTTCTGGGCTTCATAAATTGGGTTTGATACTTCATTCCTTCAGGTTAATCAGGAAGAAAGCTCAGAAGAGAGACTGAGACAAGGAGGAACTCACCTGTATGCCCAACAAAAGTGTGTATACATGTACTTCCTTTCCAAAGTTTTAAAGTTGTGTCACTTGAACCTGGATTGGAGTAATAAAAAACACACATGTGGATAAACATATTTGTCTTGGCAGACTGGTTCATAAATATATGACAATGAAAACCATTAGCTTTTCCAACTGCTAGACTATCAATTTCATGTATGTCAAATGCAAGTTATTAACATGTGGCATGCACATGTGAAAATATTTCCCTTCAAAGTGACAGACAATAGCATCTCCAGAGAACCAATAATGTTTTTTCCACCATCTAATATAGGGGTAAAACAAATTAGGCCTATAAATGTTGATACAAACACAAACCTGAGACAAGCTCTCCTGAAGGAAGCTTTACAACTGCTTGGATTGCAGCCTTGTGTGCCTCCCAAGACTCAACAGTTTGGCCATTCCTCCATCGCCTTAAAGTACTGCAACAGAGAAGTCAACAAACACAGATATAACAAGGCAAAACAGTAATTTTTTAGTTTTATGGACCCCCCCTATTCATTTCAAAATACTATACATCCTAAAGTACTTCAGAAGGGCCGTGTTTATAATGCAGACACCATTTAAGTTAACAAACAGCATGCCAAGGCAGAACAGAGATCTGCCACTCCTTCGAAAGAATGCCAAATAGAAAATTGTGCTCTGGCTTTTAATAAATTTAATAAACGAATTCAGCATACTTTAAAATTAAAAATGATAAAATTCTTGAATGTGGTGAACTCACCAATCAACAGAAGATGAGACAATATCCTTATTATCAAGTAAAAGACCAGTGACTTGAATTTGATGGCCCTTCAGTGTCTGCACCTTCTCCCCAGTCCTCAAGTCCCAAACCAAAACCATGGTGTCCATTCCACCAGACACAATCCCACCCTCCGGGAATTCCTCATTGGGGGAAATCCAAGCCAGTGGACCCACAAAACTGGAATGCCCCAACAAAATTTTGGAAGAAAGGAATTTTCGCTTGTCAGATGGGTCCAGAGTCCAGAACCTCACCGTTCTATCCCTCGATGAAGTGGCTATACTCTCACCGCCACACACGCATATCCCACGAACCTGATGCCCGTAAGATCACAAACACCCATAAATAAAATCAAACTCCATTGATCAAATAGTAAAAAAGCACCCATTTTAGACCTAAAACAAATTCTAAGCATGAAAATGTCAATGTGAGGGTTGATAAACCCATAATTCAATAACACCCAGTTGAGATTTTGGGTTGTTTTCAGTTCACAGCAGGTTATTCTGTGCACAAAATTAGATGAAATGTAGATTGAAGTGCTTGATTTCGTGGGCAGTGAAACGGGAAATGAGCGGCGAAAAAGGGCAGAACAAGGCAGGAAAAAAATGGGGAACAGAGATCTTACATCGTCTTCGTGACCTCGCAATTGGCAGCGAAGTTGGTACTCCTTGAATTCAATCTCCATGACTGCGAGTTTTTTTGAAGACAAAATTAAAGAGCGTCTCTCAGCAGAGGCAGAGATGAAGAGCTTTTTGAAGCAAAGAGGTCAAAAGTTTCGAGAAGAGTATCGCTTGTTTTCCAAGTTTTTCTCTACTACGTAGTATTTTTCTCCATATTCTTTTTTTATTTTTATAATGACAAAATTATAAAAAAAATATTGCTAGCAATTTACATAATGAAGAAATAAAAGAGAAAGTGCAATCATATGGTACAATCTTTTTATATAATTATTAATATTATTTAATAAATATATTTAATATTATAAATTTTAAATAAATAAAAAATTAATTATTTAATTAATACATAAAATTATATCTAAAAATAATATAAAAATTTATCTTTGAACCATCTTCTAAATAAAAAATGCATATCAATTGTCTTTTTAAATTAAAATGACGTATTAAGTTGTGTCTTCCAGTCATGTACTTTTCAATTATAAATATATGTAAATAATTTATTAATAAATATAAAATTTAAAGTTATTAAATATATATTAAAAATAAAATTTCTTAATTAATAATTAATATTATTATATTAACTTGAAAATTTTCATGCTTATAATTTATGCAAATTAAATATTTAATGTGTTGGTTAGTTTAACCATGTATTTAAAAGAACGAAAGGAAAAAGAGGGGAATGAGAGAGAAAAGGAGTGTTTTTGAAGGAAATGAAAAAAAAATGTGTATTTTAGTCTAAATTGTTCTAACTACAAAATGTTAATGATTAAATTAAGAGAGATTTTAATATTAGAACGTTTTTTCATAATTAATATTTTACAATTTAATATAATTTTAATTATAAAACACAAGACTCAATAAATAAAAATAAAAGAAGTAAAGAGAAGGGAATGCTTAATTTTTTTGGTAAAAATTTTAGAAAATAAAATAAAAGATTTATTTTTTAATTTTATTAACTAAATTCATAATTAATCATAAAAAAATTCTAAAAAAGGGGGGGGGGGGACCTTCTTCCAATTTCAGACTTAGAATTAAGCAGGTTGAAAAAATAAAATTGATCAAACTCTATTATGTGGATTTGGATAAGACTTAAGAGTCATAAGATCAATGAAGAAGGACATAGGCCAGTTGTCTAAATTATTGATATAAAAACATTTTTTTATCTACATAATCAAAATTTGATTTCTCATTTTTTTCTTATTTTCTCTCTCCTCATAAGAATTTCAACTCTTTAGTTATTCAATAATAATAATAATAATAATAATAATAAGACCGCTACTTTAACCCAATTATTATATTACTCAAGTTTGGACCTCAATTCTTGATATAACATTCCCAAGATCGGCCCCAAGTGGCCAACTCTGGATCTGGACCCAATTCCCAAGACCATTACTATCTACTGTTCCTAGTGGTGCTCGTTTAGGGCCGGTCCGGCCCCATGGCCACCCTGCTGCAGTTTGCCGCTGCATTCAGACAAAGGTTAAATGTTAATTTTGGTCC